AATTGCAACTGGCCACTGCTTTTACATGTTTGATGATATTGTTCATAATTCGAGAGATGAGTTCAATATTAGATCTTTAATATTTGACACAATTTATTTGCTTGAATCGAGGATTAGTAGATAATTGTGAGGATGTTGAGTCTTTTAATCTATTTGGAGTTGAATTGCATGTGTTGAGTGGAGACGCTAATATATGTGATTTAATCTACGGTTTTATCGATCTCGAGAGGGACGATAAGCTAAATTTGTGATCGTCTTATAGGGTAGATGAAGGAAACATTTAGTTGTGTTAATTTTGAAGGAATCCTAACTATTAATTGAACCCAGCGTCTTAGAATCTATCGTTCCCATATATTTTTCTACGTGTTTTTCTAGCTAGTTCTTTATTTTCGATTTATTATCTTTTGAATTATTTTCTTAGTTTAGATAATCACTCTTATATTCGGTTGTCTAGATAAAATTGGCACTATCATAATCTAGTACTTGATTAATTGGTTGTTTGGTCTCTTGGGATACGACCTTGCATGCCACGTACTACGAGCGAAGTCGTACACTTGCGGTCGAGCTTTAAATATATAGACGAACATCAACCGAGTTAGAGAGACTAAGACCCGATCTAGTTCAAAAAAGTGAGCGAGGCTAATTAGCGAGTGAACTCAAGTATCGTGAGAGAGTTAGGCTAATAACCGAGTCGATCACACCTATCGTCGAGAGCAAGGCCGTGGCGAAGCCGTGATCGAGACAAGTCGAGGGAACGCAACACACGATCCGTCATCATTGGTGCTTTCATTGAAAGTGATTGATTGTGTGTTCGTTAACTTTTCCTATCCCATTCTTTTTATTTTTTGTTCAATTTTTTGAGTCTTTTGTGTTCGAATTTTTTTCGAATTTTATTCCTTAATTTTCGAAAAATTTCGTGAGTATCGTGAGAGAGTTAGGCTAATAACCGAGTCGATCACACCTATGGTCGAGAGCAAGGCCGTGGCGAAGCTGTGATCGAGACAAGTCGAG